TGGACGGACCCCTACCCTGGGTCTTAAAACATGAGGGGAGGTGTGGGAGGCCCCTGGGCTGTCCCCACCGACCTGCTGGAGAGGGCAGGTTAGAAGCTGTGGAGGAGGATTCCCAGGCTCTGTGGTAAGGTATCTCTGTGATGGCTCCCGTGGAAGCGTGCATGGTGCTGGTGGTTCGTAGTAATTCAGACCTTCTGTCCCCAGGCTGAAGTCAACTCCACGGCCCAAGTTCTCGGTCTGCCTGCTAGGGGACCAGCAGCACTGCGATGAGGCCAAAGCGGTTGACATCCCTCACATGGACATAGAGGCTCTGAAGAAACTCAATAAAAACAAGAAGTTGGTGAAGAAATTGGGTGAGTGGTGGTGTGGATCAGGCGCTGGGTTCCCTGGCTATCTTGGGAGGGCTGGGTAAGCAAGATGGTTTTCCCTGGGCTTGGATTTCCATGTCACAGTTAACTGCAGGGAATAGAAAGTTGACCAGAGTCAGCCTGAAGTACAGAAATCTGTGTAGAAACTACCCAGAACAGCAAACAACCCTTTAGGAGTGCAGAAAATCTGACAGGTGAGCCCACCAGGAGTAATAGTGATTGCTGTAAGGAAGGGATATAGGAAAATTGTTCCTGTCTCCCTGAAAGTTTCACCTTTAGCTGGTGTTCCTCACTTTACCAGTCAGGGAGCTGGAGCGCAGCAAAAGCTGAGTAAAGCTGGAAGTGAAAGTTTGCTTTAGTCCTTAAAGGAATAGAATGAAAGTTTATTTTCACTTGGTAAGAGAGAAAATCCTTCCCTCCCTGTAAAAAAAAAAAAAAAAAAAAATTGATACATATCTTAGGCAGACAAGAAAAACTTCCCACTCAAGCCATAATTAGCTATGGAACCATATGCAATTAGGAAATGACATAGGGTACCACAACTGCTAGCCAAGCCTCTGAGACATGTGATCCACCCACCCACACGTGCACAGGCTGTGGTAGGAGGCTCCTGGTAGGGCTCAGAGTTCAGCATCTGTCATCTGTGCCTCAGCAGAAGGCCATTTTTTCTTCAGAGGAATGAACTGTATACCGTTAGGAGCGTGCTGTCAGGATGCAAAGCTGGCTTCTGGCGGGTTTGGCTGTTAGACTGGAGTAATTTCTAATAGAATAATAAAACCAGCTTAGGTTCAGCTAGGGACTCTGAGAATGTCAAAATGCATGTGAGGGAAATGGAGCAGCACAGTCTCAGCTGAACTGTTAGGTTGAAGCTTGGTGTAGGAGCTGAGAGTCCATCCTTACTACGTTGGTTCTCTCCTCACAGCTAAGAAGTACGATGCCTTCCTGGCTTCCGAGTCCTTGATCAAGCAGATTCCTCGAATCCTGGGTCCAGGTCTGAACAAAGCTGGCAAATTCCCTTCTCTCCTCACTCACAATGAGAACCTGGTTGCCAAGGTTGATGAGGTCAAATCTACGATCAAATTTCAGATGAAGAAGGTAAAGCAGGGCTTTTCCTCTCCAAGGCAGTTACATACCTGAGGGTTATTTGTGGCCGGTGGTCACTTGTATGCAGCTGCGATCTGCGCTCTGGGCTGTAGGTGTCCCTCGAGCATCTTCCTAAAACGGTGGCCAGTGACAATTGCTACACAGAGGCTACCCAGAGCATTCAGCTGCTGGCTGGAAAGGAGTCATCACTTATCTGTGGTTGAAAGATCTTAGAGCAAATTATTAGGAGATGATAGTGATGTTTCATTGCTGAGCACAATCAGTCGTAATTAACGCTTCTTACAGTAAGTGGGTGACACTTGCAGGGTGGGGCCTGTGGGCCAGGCGTGCTCCCGTGGGTCTGTGCATGCAGCACTGCTTTGCCAGAGGCAAGTTTGGGACTTGACTCTGCAAGTGAACTTTGGAGCAGCTCTGTGTGTGTCTGCTCTCGCTGTCAAGATGAGCTGACTCCCTAAAACCAAAATAACCCAGTTCAGGCATTTTAATCTCATGTCAGCGGTCTAAATGTGACTCATGGGTATTACTGAGAATTAACAGCTCTGCTAGCTGAGGTGCATCCTTAGACTCCAGCTGATCTGGGCCTGGGGGCACAACAACTGGGAGGACACAGTAAATGTGATAGTTTGTAAATGCTCGAGCATTTTAAGTAACTGAGCTAATGATGTCCTGACACTTCGCCTGTCAGCTTGCTCGTAAATCCTTTTGTCTTCAGCCCTGGGGAACATCCACTTACAAGCTCCTTGGCGAGGCTGGCAGGCAGAGGCTCTGCCTCTGCATGTGTTGTGTGTGGAAAGAAAGGGCTGGCGTCTGGCGCCCAAAACAAAAAGTGAAGCTGGCACTGTACTTAGCAGTGAAGTTTGGAGCTAATCGTCTGTACTGTGCTGGGTTAGCCACCTAACAAACTGGGTGTGGGAGCGGAGTTAAACCAGTGTCGGTTCAGCCCCGCTCGTTATGCATCCTTCCTGCTGTCCCCATCTCTAAGTCACCTTTGGGGTAGGACAGACCCACCCCAGCTCTCATTCAGAGATGACATCCAGATGCTACCAGCCCCATTTGTGGGTGCCACATGCCAAAGACAATGAGCTCTGGGGAAGCACCCGTGGCTAAACTGGAGAAGTCATCTCCAGCTGACAAGATGAGATAATTTCATACCCTGATGAGTTCAGGTCAGCACTAGGCTGTTCTGTCAGTCACTATAATCTTTGATTTTCCCCACCAAACCTCTACCTGCACGAGTGACCCTGGTGTCCGTGTTCCCCAGGTGCTCTGTCTTGCTGTGGCTGTCGGTCACGTGAAGATGACAGAGGATGAACTTGTCTACAACATCCACCTGGCCATCAACTTCCTGGTGTCCTTGCTGAAGAAGAACTGGCAGAACGTGCGTGCTTTGTACATCAAAAGCACCATGGGGAAACCCCAGCGCCTGTACTAATTAGGTGGCAATAAACTTTTAGGACAGCTTACAGCTGTGTGTTGGGTTGTGTTCCTCCAAAGCTTGTTGCAATGGGATGGGTTTGCTAAAGAGCTGCTTGCTTCCTTGTAGCAAGAAAGGTCTTGAATGCTCTGGTGAGCTGATGGGGACGTGAATTTAAGTGGAACATCAGACTTGTAGGGACCAATGACTGGGGCCAGGGGCTCCTGCCCAGCAGCAGCTCATGAGGACTTGATGAGTGTTTTCCAGCTGGCCCCAGTCACCCACAGGACCCAGGAGGATGGAGGGTGTTGGGGGGTGTGTGGGGTGGGAGCTGCAGCTCAGCCAGAGGATGGGGGCCAAGGTAAGGAGTGCTTGCCATGCCCTCTGCTTCCCTCTGAGCTAGTCCCTGTCCAACTCCGTGTTTGGGCTAAAAATGAGAGATGTGGCAGCTAATTAAGGTATATAAATAAATAGATTGTGTAATGACTAGTGAGCGTATGGAAGTTGTAGGATTTAAGCTTCTGGGGGAAAAAAGCCAACACCCTATGCCCTTGAAAAGCGCTTGTCTTGGCATCTGAGGGAACAAAAAATGAAAATAGCTTTGGGTCCTGCTGTTAGGAACCTTTAAAATAAGTGTCAGAGCCAGTTTCTGAAAGATCAACACAACACCAAGAAATTCCATTTAATAATTAAAAAAGACAATACAAAATGCAAACATTTCTTTTTATAAAGTTCAGATACATTTTTTTTCTTTTAATCAAGTGCAAATAACTTCATGAACTACATCTTTCCCATTACTTTAATCATTTTTGCTGGAGATGGTAAGTTGTGGCCCACTGCAAAAGGCAGATATAAATACTCCAACATGAGAAAAAAAAAAAAGAAAACCCCACCTAACAACCCTTACTTATGTTCACCGTGTCGAAACATTCATTACATCTGAGGTGGCTGATGCAGTTTTCAGCCTTTCAAACCTTTTCTGGGTGGTGGGTGTGGATGGGGGGGGGTACAGGTGGCCTGGTCAACTTTTATTTGGGGACTTAAATATTTGAGATATTTGGTGAAAGGAGGGGTAGGAGATGTTACCAGGTTTCTTTGGCCTTGACAGGAGGACATGCTGCCCTTCCAAAACTGCTTTAGGGGAGCAGAGGTGGTCAGTGCAGTGACAACCGTGACACAGGCTCTGGGAGCTGCAGTCCCAGCAGGGTCAGGGCGACATCAACCCCGCTGTTAAATCACAAAGAATTAATAAACTCCTCTGTGAACATGAATGGCTGCATCGCACCGGGGCCACCACAGTGGGGCTAGGCCTTCCCGGTTTGTTTTTACTTTTGCCACTGTTGTGTTTTATTTTTTATTTTCGTCTAAATAGAAAAGACCCTTTCACTGGTCACTGCTCTGCTGCAACTGCCCCACCGCAATTAAAAAAAAAAAAACAAAACCAAAAAACAACCCTGCAAATCCCTACAACAGCTTTTGTGCATCAAAGCAGCTGCTTTCAGACACCAACCAAGTGACAAACAGTTCAGCCCACAGCTGTAGAGCTTCCAAACAGGCTGGGAGCTGGGCGGCAGGAGGGGTAAATCCACAGCTGGGATGAATCAGGACAGACTTTTCCAACCGACACATCGTGGGGACAAACCTCAGCCCCCTTTGCCATGCTCACCCAGCCTGCAGCCCCTAATAGAGCCCAGAAGAAGCTCTCGGGGTGCTGGAGCAACACCGTTTGAGGAGGGAAAACACAGGCGAGCAGCTGCCTCCTGGTTTCGGCAAGGACTGACCTGGGGGAGGACATGCAGAAAAATAAATAATTGTTCATTAGGAGCAAGGCTTGCCCCAGATGTGTTTGAGGGGACAGTGAGAGACAAGCGGGGACAGGAAGGGACTGGCCAACAGGAAAGCTGCAGGCAAGTTGACCACATTTAGTCCTGGCAGCTCCAGGTCTTTGAGAGGATGAAGATGGGGAAGAAGGTGCAGGGAGGTGACAGCCAAGAGCTGGTTGCAGGGCTGGAAAGGGAGCAAGGCTTGGGGAGGAGGACGAGGGGTGACCAGTGGCAGTGGTCTCCTGTCCCTGGGGGGTCCTGTCCAGCTGTGTGAAGATGCTGGGGGACAAGCCCTTCTGTGGTGTCCACCTGCCTGTGATCCCCAGCCGTGCCTGTCCGCGAAGCTGGGGGAAGGGAGGTGGCAGTGAAAGGGGGGGGTGGCAGGACCCCAAGATCTGTGCCCTGCTCCCCGGGAAGGGGGGGTCCCACAGCATCCCAGCAGGACGAACACACACAGAGGGACGGAGCCAAATGCACCTGATGAGGCTCGGAAGCACAAAGCTTCCCCAGAGCTGGGGAGGGTGCAGCTCTCCATGCCTGGAGAAGAGATTTCAGGGCTGAGCAGAGGGGCAGCTCCCCTCTCCTGCCAGAGTGTGTGTCCCCCTCCCCCAGACCCTGCCTTAGGACCTGCCCCAGCTCTCCCCCACCTCTCTGCTCATCCCTGAGCCCCTGCAGGGAAGCAAAACGGTTTGCAACAAACAAGGGATGAAAGAGTTTTGCAGCCTCCTCGCAATGGGGCTTGAACAACCCTCAAACCATGGCGGATCAGCCCAAAAGCACACAGCCACCTCAGCTGCTCCATCTCCTCCATGGACGGACTGAGATGCCTCAAACCCCCTGCAAAAACTCACCCCATCACACACCAGGCAAGAGGCACCATGTCCCCCCTGAACAGCGGTTTTTATCAGGGACAAATGCAGCAGAAAAGGTTGCAAGGTCTGAAAACACCATCGCGCCAGTCAGCGGCAGCCCAGGGCTGGGTTTTTGTTTTTTGTTACAAACGCACATTCTCATTTCTCAGGCAGGTATAAATATTGTCATTTCTAGTAGAAAAAAAAACCAAAACAAAACAAACAAAACCCTTCCCTCTAAATAATATAAAGAAGACTCAAATGATTGCACTTAATACATATGAAAAAGGTAGAAAGGAGGATATCCTAGTGCACAAACATTTACTCCTGCTCTTCACAAAGCTTGCTTTTCCGAGTTACTCTTTGGCAGAGCTTGTAAGAAAGTCTGGTTTCTTGGCACAAGTATCTGGGGTGGGGGGAAAAAAAACCCAAACCCGGCTGAAAGTCCTTCTCCTTTGCTCCCTGTTTTCTCGCGTGCAGCCAGACATTGTTCTCCGGGAACGTGGCTTGGCTGTGCTTTCCTCCCAGCACCACCATGGCTCTCCAGTGGGACGGCCACCAGAGCCATCACGGCTGCCGTTTGCTGGTGTGCTTTGCCGATCTCTCCTTTAAACTTTCCTTTTAATCAAGTACGCTTTTCAAAATTCTTTTCCCCCGATCTCTGCAAAGCGATGCTGATGATACCCATGACTCGGGCACTGCAATAAATATGGCGTTACCTTCTTGCGCTCCTCTGCGAAAGGGCTTGGTGGGGCTGCAGCTGGTGCCAGCCCCGTGGGCTGGAAGGACGATGACCCCCCCCGATGTCCCGGGCTGCTGATGGCACCAGAGAATGGGGACAGACCTGGCATAAAGGAAACCAAAGGGAGAACAGAGGCCAGTGAAAGGACCAGCGCTTTGGTTTCCTACAACGAAGAAGATGCTTTGGAAGAGAGGAGCGGCTTCGCCGGCGGCTGGATGAGACTGGAGCATCCCCCCCTGGCCGGGGGCACGGCTCTGCGGGGAGCGGTGGAGAAATCGTGGGGGGATGTCTGTGGGGTGAGAGGTGGCGGTCCTGCCAGAGCCAAGTGGAGGAAGGAGAAAAATCGGAAAGGAGAAGGAAGGGAGAAGAGGGTTTCCTTGGCTGTGGGGCGACCCGGGGGCAGTGGGGGTGCGGAGGGCTATTTGTAAGGCCGGAGGAAGCTGGAGACTTTGGAGCGGAGCAGTTTGATGAAGGAGCGGGGCAGCATCTCCTTGTGTTTCTCCGTGTACTTGAAGTAGTTCTGGGGGTGCGCCAGCACGTCGAAGAAAGCTTTGATGAGCTTTTTGTCCTGTGGGGAAGCCAAGTCGGAGGGAGGGTCACCATCCCACCCTGTGCTCCCCCATGGTGGCTCCAAACCAAAGCCACGAGCACAGGGAAGGCATGGGGGCACACCTGAGGGAAGGATGCTCCTGCATGCCAGCATCCCCCAGAGCCCCAGAGTGGGGACACACTCACCTTGAGGATTTCCTGGTGGTTTTCGGAAGCGTAGAGCCTGCCGTCCCGCACAATGTCCTCCACCAGCTGCTCATAGTCCTCTGCAACACCCAGCCAAAAAATACAGTCAGGGGCACGAGCTGTCACTTGTCCCCAAACCTCTGGTTCCCATCCCCGAGTTCACTCCTCCCAAATACATGGGTGGTGTGAACTGGGGGTGACCTGGGTACCACAGTGGGGAGGGAGGCAGCGGCACGCTGCGATGGCATCCCCTTGCACCCTGCGCTCACCGTCGTAGGTGACGTAGGGGATCTGGAAGCCCCGGGCACTGTTGGCTTCGCTGGTTTTGAAGTTGATCCACAGTTTCCGAGAGCGGGCAGTGAAGGCAATGGGCCTTTCGTAGGTTTGGCATGTCTCGTAGGTGGTAATGGAGGATGGGGAGGCTGTGGGGAAACGGCGAGGGGCTCTGTGATGCTGGATGCCCGTCAGCGGAGCTACCCCCAGCTTTACTGTGCTTAAATGCTCATGGTGAAGGGGGGGCACCAAGTACAGGTGTTGTCTGCATTCAGTGAGGCTGACCCCCCCACACACACCCTCACGTTACAGGACGTTGTTAGTCCTTCCTTGCCCTGGAAAGCTCAGAACGGGGTTTTTTACCCCCAAAAAGGAGTGCTGAGAGCCAGGTGTGCAACCCAGCCCATGCTTAGCCCATGCACATTCCCCTGATCCAGCAAGACACCGGGGCAGCAGGGCTATGTCGATTCCCCGGTTCCCCAATTCCCAAAAATCCCTTCCTGCCACCCGGGGATGCAGCTTTCTCCCTTTGCACAAGGCAGCTCTGCCGAACCCCAGCCTTTTCCTCCCCTGGCTTCTCCCATGAGCACTGCAGCACGCTCGGTTACCTACAGTTTTTCCGCAT